CGGCTCGCTGAACGGCGTGGCGTACTCGGGCTCGGGGGGCAGCGGCTCCGCGTACTCGTGGTACTTCCCCGGCACGTCGTAGTGGCTCAGGACGAGTGGTAGAGTGTAGCCCTCGTCCAGGAGAGGTTTGAAGGTAGAAGGACCTGTCTGGCTGCTGGGGCTCACCTGTACCAGGTCTGGCTCGGCGTAATCTGAAATGGAGGTGCAAGAGCTGAGCTGGGGGTTGTCCCTGTAGTGCCAGGGGGTCGTGGGGCTGTGATGGGGGCAGCCATGGGTGGGTTGGATTGAAACAACAGGCATATCTGGAGCCCCAGGACTGGGAAAAGCCATGGTAAAACCTACCCAGGGCAAGATGCCCACCCCATGGGGATGGGCATGTCCCTATGCCCCAGCACAGAGTGAGGGTCCTGGTGCCACCTGGGCCCCTGCAAGGCCCATACCTATGACTGAGGTGGAATCACAAGAATAAGGATAACAAAGATAATAAGCCCTACTGGAGTCTCCATTTTGCACAGGACCATACAATCATAGAATTTTAGGAGTTGGAATGGACCTTAAGAGATCATCCAGTGCCAACCCCCTGCCCTGGGCAGGGACACCTCCCACCAGAGCAGGTTGCTCAAGGCTTGATCCAACCTGGCTGTGAACACTGCTAGGGCTGGGGCAGCCACAGCCTCCCTGGGCAACCTGTGCCAGTGTCTCACCACTGTGATGCAGGAGAGGTTGGAGCAGAATGGGGAGGGGGGAATGGGCACCCTAGGGCATCCCCTGGGTGCACCAGGGGAGGCACAGCTCCAGCTCTGGACTTCAGGGGGCTGTTTGTGCCCCGATGTCCCTGTTACCTGGTGAATGGGTCTGGCTGAGATCCCCTGGTGTGGGTGCTGTGGGGAAGGAGGCCAGGCTGGGGGGTGGCAGGTTCTGCAGGGAGCACACCTGACTTGACTCCAGCTTGGGGTACCCTGGGCAGAGAGAGGAAACTCCTGGTTGTCACACACCATCCCTTGGGGATGAGCAGGACCCCTGGTTTTGGGGAGGAGTTTGGGACCCTTTACCTTTTGTGATCCCACAGTTCAGCTCTGCTGCTGATTTCCTGTCAAGAGGAGAGGCAAAAAGATGGGGTGAGGAGTCCCAACCACCCTGTGCCCACCATCCACTTCCTCACACACACTGCACCCCGTGATACCCAGTGAGCAGCTGAATGAAGCTGCCACATTTTGGGGAGGCAATGCCAAGTCTCCATGGCAAAGCAAGGAGCAGGATGGGACCCACCTCTTCCTGTAGCAGAGGAAAGCCAGGAGCAGGAGGCTGGAGCAGAGGAGCACGAAGCCACCAACAAGCAGCATCACCAGCAGTGTGGAGCCTGGGAAGGGAGGGCAACATCAGCTCCTCAGTGCCCAGGGGTGCCAGAAGCCCACCCAGGGCCACCAGAGGAGGAAAACCCATGTGTTGTCACGGAGGGACGAAGCCCCAGCAGCACCTGGAGTGCCACAAGTCAATGCTCTGCCCCAGGGACAGCCCCACTATGGCACCCACCTGCCTTCTCCGGGTCCAGAGCGACGCCAGGGATGGGGGTTTGGCTGGCAGGGCGACTGGTGGGGACAGGGTCCTCCTTGGGGACACTGGGCACTGCAGGGCAGAGTGGAGACCGTGACTGTGGGACCCCCACTGGGTGTGCAGGGGGAGGTGGTGGTTCCTGAGGGACATTTGGGATGTGGGGATGAGTTTCTGCAGAGGGGCTCACCGTAGGGCCGGGGCGCACGGACCCGTGCCAGCTGGCAGCCCACCAGGGCCACCTTCAGGGCCACACGCTGGTGCCAGCTCTGGGGGGTGACACGGATGTAGCGTGCGACGATGGGAGGGATGAAGGCATTGGAGACCTCCTCGTGGCTGTCGGTGTTTCCTTCAAAGACCTGTCAGAGAGGGAAAAGAGGTGCTGATGGCTGAGTATCCACGGGCAGAGGTGCTCAGTCCCCACCTTGTCCCCACCCCCATGCCCACCTTGTCCTCCTGGCCACCACTGCCCCTGTAGGGTCTCCAGTTCTTCCCGTCGCGGCTGG